CATGCTCCGGGCAGGCTCTGGGATCCACACATTCATCCACACCTAGAGAGTGGAGGAGAAAACCCGGGTTGAGGCAGACGAGGAAATGAGAGCAGGAGACTGCAAGTGCAGATTCGCCCTACACGTTCTGATCTTGTGGCACACAGCGCTGAGGCTCCCCAATACCCACATTCTCCCCTTCTTCCTAACCTCCCTTGCTGTTAGGTGGGACCATGAGAATAAATTCTGGCCAATAATATGTAAGGAAAAGGGTGATGAATAATTTCAAAATGTAATGATCACAGATTGCACAAATGGCCGTAGTCTTTTTTTCTTGGCATAGAGAAAAAAGATATGTTGAAGTGCTAAACTGGGTCTCTGAGAATGTGACATTCTTTGGAAACAGGGTCTTTCTAGTTGCAATTAAGATGTAAGTTAACATGGGATCATGCTTGAGTAGGATGGTTAATCTTAATCTTATCTGATTGGTGTCTTTATAAGTAGAGGAGAACGGGCACAGAGGCAGGCTTGGGGAGAACACCATGTGATGACAGAGGCAGAGATGGGAGTGATGCGTCTACAGCTCAAGGAATGCCAAGGATTGCCGGCAACGCCAGAAGCTGGGAGAGAGACACAGAGCAGATTCTCTCCTAGAGCCTTCAGAGAAACCACGGCCCTCCTGACACCTCGATTTCAGACCTCTGGCCTCCAGAGATGTGAGAAAATAAATCTCTGCTGTTTAAGGCCCCCAGTCTATAATATTTGGTGATGCAGCCCAATCTGCCTAACACAATGTGCAAGACAATTCATCTCTGTGTGTCTCAGTTTCCCCATCTGTCAGATGAGGATAATAGCACTCACCCCACAGGGTCATTCATAGGATTAAATAAGGTGACCTCTATAAAGCACTCACCACAGATCCTGGAGCACAGTAAGTACTAGGCAAGTTAATCTTAACTAAAATAAAAATTAACCACTAACATATCGAGATTTCTTTGTGGCAGGCATTGCCGTAGATCCCTTACATGCATTAGCTCCATGAATGCTCATAGAAACCCTATGAGGTATAAACTAACAGTTTTACTTTTCAGAGGAGGAAACTGAGGCTTCAAAATTGTGTGTCATCACATAGCTTGTGAAAAGCACAACAAGAATTGGAATCCGGGTTCTGTCTGGCTCTCGAATGTTTGCATGACAGCTTCCCACGCTGTCCTGAGTCTCAGAGTCTGGGAACTTGGGGATTAAATCAATGTCTGTCCTACACAAGCCCACCTTGAGCTGCCAGAGGTTGCAGCCTCATTTGGAGGCAGAATGGCATGGTGATGTGGAGCATGGGGTGTGAAGTCACATCTAGGCACATTCAGATCCTGAGTCACCTACATCCAATCTATTTGGCCTTGGGAGGGTGATTCCATGACAATGGAGGCTCAGTTTCCTCGTCTGTGAAATAGGTGTAGAATATGACCAATACCTTCAGGTTGTTGGGAGGACCAAATGAGCACACGAGAGGGAGAGCTTAGTGCCTTGACTGGGATCCTGCCTCCAGGCTTTTGTACCTGGTGTTCCCTCTTCCTGGAACATCCTTCCCCAGATACCCAATCTCTCACTCCCTCACTTTCTTCAGATCTTGTCTCAAATATCAACTTCTCAGCATGGCCTCTTCTTACCACCTGGTTAAAATTAGAATCCCATCACCAGAACTCTTTATCTGCTTTTTCTGCCTTTTTGTCTTTATCTCCTTTAACTATTCCTAACACACAAGATGTTCATGCATCTATTTTTTGTTATCAGTCTTCCTCCACACTACATGATAAGTTCCAGGGGGACAAATATTATTGCCTTTCTTATTCACTGCTGTATCGGCTGTCCCTAGAATAGAACCTGGTTTATTATAGATGCTCAAGAAGTATTGGTCGAGTGTGCAGGAATAAATGAATGAATAAATGTATGAATGAATGATTATTAGCTTCAACTCTGCAGATGAGGTCCTTGCACTCAGTGAAGACCCACCCCAAGGCCTCTCCCAACACTGTTGTCTTTGCAAACAGAACTGGACCTGATTCCCCAACACATCCTTCCACCTACCTTCACACGTCTCTCCTGGACCGCGGAATCTCATGTTTCCACTGCTGGAAACAAATCCTGGGTTGCAGACACAATAGTAGCTTCCAGGACTGTTGTGGCAAGTCGCATGCTCCGGGCAGACTCTGGGATCCGCACATTCATCCACATCTAGAGAGTGGAAGAGAAAACCCGAGTCAAGGAAGACAAGGAAATGAAGACAGGAGACTGCAGGTGCAGATTTACTCTATATGTTCTTAGCTTGTGGCACACAGCGCTGATGCTCCCCAATACCCACATTCTCCCCTTCTTCCTAACCTCCCTTGCCGTTAGGTGGGACTAAGAGAATAAATTCTGGCCAATAATATGTAAGGAATAGGGTGACGAATAATTTCAAAATGTAATGATAACAGATTGCACAAATGGCCGTAGTCTTTTTTTCTTGGCATAGAGAAAAAAGATATGTTGAAGTACTTAACCTGGTCTCTGAGAATGTGACCTTATTTGGAAATAGGGTCTTTCTAGTTGCAATTAAGATGTAAGTTAACATGGGATGATGCTGGAGTATGATAGTCCCTTAATCTGATCTGATTGGTGTCTTTATGAGACGAGGAGAAGAGGCACAGAGGGAGGCTTGGGGAGAACACCATGTGATGACAAAGGCAGAGATTGGAGTGATGCGTCTACAGCTCAAGGAATCCCAAGGATTGACGGCAACACCAGGTGCTGGGAGAGAGACACAGAGCAGATTCTCTCCTAGAGCCTTCAGAGAATGCACGGCCCTGCTGACACCTCGATTTCAGACCTCTGGCCTCCAGAGATGTGAGAAAATAAATCTCTGCTGTTTAAGGCCGCCAGTCTATAATATTT